CTGCGTGTTCTTAAATGGAAGCATATAGTGTCGAAGAATTGAGTAAAGTGAGGTCCAACAATAAAAATAAGGATTATATATATATATGTGTGTGTGTGTAGTTAAAAAATATGTTAAACAGTTGGTCCGCCGTGTAACATCGAATAATGAATTCGATGAAATGTTATCACATTATTCACGTACCTAATTAACTTTGGTTACTATACGGTGAAGTAAAACGAAGTCAAAACTCCATACATAAAAATACGCCTCATTGAAGCAGTGCTTAAATCTTCTACTAAATAAAATGCGCTTTCATATGTTCATACGAGTACATCTTTATATAATAAACATTCATAAGTTCAAATTGGTTGAAGTGCATACTTGGATAAATATAGAAATCACTATTTAAGAAAATAAACGTTACACGAAACAGTATAAAATTAACTTTATTGCTTCAGTAAAGAGGGTATTGTTTTTAACTGTATTTATTTATTTATTTAGAACAAACAGTAATTTAAGTATATGTAAAAAAACACATATAACTAGATATATAAAGTTTATTGAGAACAATATAGTTTAACTCATTCTATTTTTGATAGATCCTTAAACTTTTAAAGAAATTGTTGGTGCTAACTATATTGTAAGTGGAGTCGTACAGATAAAATTAAAATAATTATATTAAGCCCCCAAAATAATTTGTACTACTTAGTAAAGTTTCATTATTAATATGCGTAAAAAATATTAGATGAAAAATAATGATTAAATGCTCTAATCTTATTTCTTTACTAATGCATGGGTTTAGATATTATAAAGAATACAACAATAGCTACAGAAAATTATCAAACACAAAAATAATTTGACTTTTTTATATACTTAGCTCAACAATGTCACAGATATGGTAAAATGGAACCGTTATATAAACTCGCTGACCGTAGCAGAGATGAAAGAGGCCGGAGTACAACTTGAGGAAGTTCTAGTTTCGTGTATTTTCATTGGGTTCGGTAGTTGCCAGTAAGTAGGTTAAGATTTCATTATTATAAAAATATTAAAGCAAAATGATTATTAGAAGATAAGTGATTTTTAAAAATAAAACACGAGCATAAATGTTAGACTTGCAGAGCAATTATGAAATTAAAAATATATTTTCTAATATTTTCGAGAATATTTTTTTGTGAAATTGTATTATAGTTTTGTGCAATATCAGGATAATTTTTAGTATCAGAATTAAAACTTAATCATACTAAGCCCACCAGTGGCACAGCGGTATGTATGTGGACTAACAACGCTAGAAACCGGATTTCGATACTCGTGGTGGGCAGAGCACAGATAGCCCATTGTGCTTAATTACAAACAAACAAACAATACTCATAATAAAAAGAAAAACAAAGGAAGAGATTTTAATTTAAACAATATTTATCGGAATTCATGATATTCCAGAATATACGATGGTTTGTTTTCTTGACTAATGGAACAACAACCAATTGAAATAGATATTGTTGAATATTTGAATATCTGTGCTGACAATTACAAAATATTTCTTTAAAATTTTGATATTAGAAGTAAACTTCCTTGCTTTTAAAAGTAAAATCTAGAGAAAATTTAAATATCATATGTAACTTTTGTGACAAATATCTCGTGAAAATAGATAGTTTGTCGTGCAGCCAAAACAACCTGCAGGGCACACTGTGTCTGTGTGTGTTATTAACAGGAGTGACAGTTTAGCAATTTTCCACTTTCTTTAGCTTGGACTGTGGTAATCCAAACTATCACATATTTTCAGTGAATGTGCTCTACTGGACTCTTACTTCACATACCAAATTGCAAAACAAGCCATTAAGAAATATATGAGATATAAAATATATTATTTTGATTGGATGTCTTTTTTTCTTTCTCTTCGCACCGAAAGTGCGGAAATTTATTCGATAGAAAAACATACTTAACTTTCATGGATTTTTTTTTCAAATTTGGTACACTGATGGATCTTTAAAACTTACAGTTAGGTGTCAGATTTGTTCTAAATATAGACTACATGTGATGTGCAAAGGTATTCAACAAAACCCGCTCGATTTTAACCAAACTTTTTGCGCACTCTGAGTCATTAAATCAAGCAATATTACAGCACATGTAGGTCTCTTTGCCACACAATCTTTTGCACGCTATGGAACTGCTATAATTCATAAGTCAATGTCTGAGTAAATTAACTGCTTTTATTTAACAAATAAATTATTCTGAGGCATTAAATTAAGCAATATTACAGCACATATACGTCACTTTGCCACACAATCTTTTGCACGCTATGGAACTGCTACACCTCATAAGTCAATGTCTGAGTACGAGGTAAGACTGTTAAACCAGAACAGGTCTGTGTCCTGTCACTAGTAAGTGCCAAAGCCAAAGTCTCCTTGCTGGAAATTTGTTCCTTGATTGTGTTGTCATGACATCTCTTCCGCTATAGGATGGCCTTCCATGCCATTGACTCACAAACTCTTGCACATCATCCAATGCAGACCTAAGCCACTACCTGCATTCTTGTGGATACTGTGACAAATCTGTTCTAGAGGAGGGCCATTCATCACAGGGAACAATAACTTTGAACCAAACATGAGTATGTTTGCCAAACAACCAGTCAATATATATTCTGTTGCATAGTAAACCATCATGACATACAGAAAGTGTTCATCCCAAGCAGTTCAGTTGAGATTAACAAACTTCACAACCATCCACTTGATAGTTTGCATTACTTGCTCTGCCAAACCGTCAGACTGGGGTGATAAGGGTAAGTTCACATTTCCACCATAATACTTTAAACGACGTCGAAAATAGCTAACAGCTAACCCTAACTATTGAAGTTAGTTCCTTAATGTTATAACAATTTTTGGAGTTCGTGTTTATGTAAAATTGCATAGAAACAGACATTTTAAAGGTTTCTATACTACTAAAAGCAGAAAGGAAACATATGATATGCGTCATTCATGATGACGAGGGACACATTTGAAGTAATTATATGTATAGTAGCGACGGCTGATATGGGTATTAAAATATTTTAGTTAAAACACGAAACAAGCATCAACTTCCTTAAGTTTTTATCAGGTTAAGAATGACTTTTGAAAAATCATTTTTAACTTGATAATGACTTAAGGAGGTAGAAACGTTACTTGTTTTTTAAGTAAAACTAAAAGTTTTCAATACCTACATCAGCCTTCTCTACTATATACACATATATGATACGTCTGCATATCACAATGTAATCAATAATCATATGGAGTAGACTGTCTAAAAGGCCCCCTGGTGGTTCAGCAATATATTGTAGACTTCTAACGTTAAGTATCGGGTTTCAATACCCATGGTGGCCAGAGTACAGATACCCCATTGTGTAGTTTTGTACTTAACGCTGAGAAAGAAACAATGCTATCCAGAGAAAATGCCAGCCTAGACAGGGTAAGTAATTATTGGTTATAATTTACAGAGAATAGTCGTGGATGCCAGTACTGTCAAGGAGAATGAACAAGGTAATGAGTATGTCCTGGGGAATGTTGACACCATCACTTAATATGACAACATTCAGTAAAATCACAATCGCAATAATAGCACAGGTATGGAAAGTTCACTTTGCAGTCACCCTTCTGCCCACGCTCAAAGTACATTCTTTGGTTCTCCCTTCTGGAGTGAGATCCAGGTGGAACAATTATCTTTATTGGTTGCAGCACAAATAGTGAATGAGGTTGTGTCACAGAGCCTGGATGTGGGAGCTCTTGGCTAAGCTCAGTGTGGGGGCTAGACCAACCAGACTCAGGATTTAGAATATCATCAGTTTTTCTGAAGTCCAGCCACTCCATGAACTGATCTGCCAGAAATATCTAAGGAAGTGATCCCGATCTTCTTTTGCCACACCCTTAGATAATGGGGGTGTTATTTGTTTAGCCCCTATCACAGCTACTGTGGTTCTGATATTAACCTCTCACTAAGTATTCTTGGTCTAAACCAGGTTGGAATTTCCTAAACATTGGGAGTATAATGGATTGGACTTATACAAAGACCTTTGCAATCAAATGAGTGTTAAATTTTTGCCCTTGAGTTACAGAATTGTGAGTTATCAGAGGTAGCTTTTCCATTGACTTTGCATGACGCCAGGCTTCTATTTGACCCATGGGTTGCCCTGGTAGTATACCTTTTTTGTCCGGAAAAATTGAAAAGTAACACTTTTACATGGATAACCACCTTCATCAGTCCACATCTACTGTCTCACTTGCAAGAGAACATTACCCATGAACAGTACCTATAATTTCTTTTGTATTTATTAGAAAAACATTTTGATTTTTTTACTTGAGGACAAAGTTTGGTTCAACATTTATTATGCAATCTAACTATTTTCAAGATTTAATTTCCTTTTGGTAAGGTTTATAACATTTAGTATGTATTTAGTTGATTTTTTAAAATATCACAACTTTGTACTATGAAATACTTTCTGACTATTGTATTTTTGTAATTATTTTGATCATATCAGTTTTACCTAATAATGAACCCAAAATTCTTTCAAAATTGCTTTATTTTTTCTTAAGAAGACAAGGAAATGTATGAAGATGGACACAATAGTAATTGCACACTCTCATATTTTCAAATAATTCTTGAATGTAAATAAAGTATATTCTTATTTATGTTTGGGAACAAGGTGTTAACTTATCTATATATTTTCTCATTCTTACGTAGTCCCATTTACAAGACCTATACCACTCAGTATGGAAATTGCTTTACCATTAATAGTGACTGGATACCAAAAGCTGTTGTCAGAAACTTATCTAACATACAAAGAGTGAGTAAGTATGCATAACTACTTTTAAATAGGTAGTTTTTAACCTTCGATCCTCCAAACTTGAAGTGAATTAACTTCTATGTACTTTTGTATTTCTATGAAAACCCAAATAAACACTTTTTGAATTATTCTTATTTACTTACTTTAATTTCAATGTATTATAATTCTCTGTTATCAGCTGAACGTTTAGGCCTAGGACGGTCTGGTGGCTAGGGCACTCAACTCGCAATTTGCGTGTCGTGGATTTAAATCTTGCCACCGAATAAGCTCGCCTTTTCAGCCATGGGGCGTTATAATGTTATGATCAATCCCGTTATTCGTTGGTAAAAGAATAGCAAAAAAAAAAAAGAAATGGGTCATGTTGACCAGCTGCCTTACCTCTAGCTTATCACTTCAAAAGCACGGACGACTAGCGCAGATACACCCTTAAGTAGCTTTTACATGAAATTCTATAAACAAACTTTTATATAATCCAAGCATTTTTCTCAAACTGTGGGTTGTAACCCTCATGGGGTTGTAAGGGATCTCAAAGATCACGAACAGGCCCGGCGTGGCCAGGTGGTTAAGGCGCTTGACTGACAATCTGTGGGTCGCGGGTTCAAATTTCAGTCCCGCCAAACATGCTCACCCTTTCAGCCGTGGGAGCGTTATAATGTGACGGTCAATCCCACTATTCGTTGGTAAAAAGAGTAGCCCAAGAGTTGGCGGTGGGTGGTGATGACTGGCTGCCTTTCCTCTAGTCTTACACTGCTAAATTAGGGACGGCTAGCGCAGATAGCCCTCGTGTAACTTTGCGCAAAATTCAGAAACAAACAAAATCATGAACGCGCAGATAGCCCTTGAGTAGCTTTACACGAAAGTTAACAAACAAAGAAAGCTGAACATGTGTGTTTTAAACTTGTTTTCGTTTTTTTTGGCGTCTCTTATAAAGACATTTCATTCAAACTATGATGATAAAGATGTAATGAGGCACATAGCTGTAGAATGATGTTTCTATTAAATGTCAGGTGACATCCCTACATTACTTTACATTTTGAGATTACAGATAAATGAACAATAACAATAAAATGTCATTTCAAACAGAGGAAGTGTAGTAATTAGAATTTTAAGTGTATATGGGTAGTTTAAAAATGTTCATAGCGACAAGGCAGAACGTCTGGTAAAATAAGGGCAATATTAAACTAAGGTATGTTTGTTTGTTTTTAATTAAGCACAAAGCTACACAATGGGCTATCTGTGCTCTGGCCACCACTGGCATTGAAACCCGGATTCTAGCGTTGTAAGTCCACATACATACTGCTGTGCCACTGGGGGCATTAAACTGAGGAAATGAAAACAATGGTCTAGTTTCCAAACTCCTCCTACTTATTTTACCCAGTAATCCTGTTCTCTTATGGTTATGTGTACTTTAGAAGTAGGATTTACACTACAAAACATTATTATATCAAGGAATGAAAATCTTGTTACAGGTATAAAGCGTTTTTTTTAACCTTTTTGTTATTTTCCAGATAAACATGTATATAAATCCAATACAATAGATAATAAAGTTTCAAGTTTAACTTCAAAACCATGTTTTTGACTAGGGCAAAGCTACTTTTTTCTTATAATAATTAAATCCAATGGAATTGAATTATATGGTCAGCAATATAAGTCACGACAATCTGACAACAAGAAAACAAAATTTAGATGTTAAAATGTCAAAAGTTATTAAATTTTTCACCCCAGCTATTAATGCTAAGCAGTTACACTAAAACATGCTATCTTTGAAAATCACAGATTAAAATATTAATGTTTTTTCGTGCATCTGGTGATAGTAACATAAGCAAAAGGTAGTGCAACAAATAAATGAATGAACAACTGCTTTTTATAATATAAGAAAATAATGTTTATCAAACATTTCCACCAAGTGATGCTAACACTGTCATTACACATATATCATGACATCAATAAATATATTGATTATTACACCTGTTTTACAATAAATATCTGAAAGAAGTATACAGGAATTTCATACCATTAATCATTTGGATTTTATATGTAATATATATAGATTAGAAAATCAGCACATTATCAAAAACTTAACCAAAACATAGAATAAGAATAGTTGTGTTAAAATAAATTTAAGTTAGTCATACTTACTTCTATAAAGTCTGTTATTTTCTTTTCAAGAAGCATTTAGACTGGCTTAACAGAAGTCACTTTATGGTACATTTAAGAAAGAATGGAGTAAGAGGAAATAATTATTACAGTACTATACATCAGTGGGGAAGACAGCAAAACTGTCCTCACAGTTGGCATTCTAGCCCCCAATATGATGTTTGGACATAAAAACCAAGACGCTATAGTACTCGTATACTAAATCCTGCCCAATCTAACTGTGTGTGTATGTGTGTGTAATATATATATATATATTACGTTCTTAGGGGTGTTGCATTTATTTCTAAAAATAAGTCTTCCAAGCATTACAGCTACACATTATGAAAGTAAAGAGAATTCATTGTTGTATTCAGTCTATTCAAAAACAAGAGGAAATGTAATCCTGAGAACCAACCAGAAAGTCTAGGTATCAACACCTTTAAAGAATACAGAATACATTACGAGATTAAATCTGCAGAGTTAATAAGGTAAATATGCTTTGATGCATAATCTAGTCAATGAATGTGTATCTAAATAAAACTCTTTCAGGAAAAACTATGGTCAAACATAAACATAAAAATTCAACAGGCCAAAAGTAACAAGTGATAAAAGTAGTTATTTTTTATAAGTATCACTTAAATATAAATTTAACCTTTTAATTATCAATCTTTGCATCGGAAGTTAAAACAGAAATGGTGTTGATCCTTGTATATTGGTCAGAATGTAAGGTGAAACATAAATTGGTGTACCAATCCAAAAATGCTCAACAACTCTAAAAAAAAAAGGCAGTTTCACAAAAATAACAATCACCAGAGTCCACCAAAACTCGTCAAATACTATTTTCATGTATTTTTTTTTTTTGCATAACGATTTTTTAAATAAAAAAATATTTTTTTTTTCTTAGATTTAGCATATGCTAAAAGAAAGAAATATTGAACGGCAAATGCCAAACAACTCTAGAGTAAATAAAATTAATTAAGCTAAATATATATTTCTATGGATAATGATATAAGCTTTATTTTCAATGCTTAATTTAGATGTAAGCTAGAGGACAGGTGACGATAAGATCGAAAAAATATCGACTAATATCTCGACATGGATATATTTGTTATAAATTCGACTAAACAGTTAGGTAATTCAGTGAAGTATTTATTAAGAGGTTATAGGATAGTGAATGAGAAGTTATAGAGTGAAATATTCATTAAGTTATTGATCCAGTAATTGTTGAAAAGTTATTCAGGAAAAGTTAGTGCTTCAGTGAGGTAATTAGTACGCTAGTCACCATTTGTTATTATTCAAGGACATTTACGTTAAACGTTATTAATTAATATATTAGGCCTACAGTAGTTTCAGAGCTTATGATGAAAAGTTGGTTTTTGAACTTAGGCCTATAACTTATGTCAATGTAGCCTTTTACAAACGTCACTGAACAAATAAAGTAATTCATTATTGTTACATGGACTAGACAATAATCCATAAGAACCCACCCAACGATAGAATACGTTACAATATTATGAGTGATAGATTATATGTAATTTATCATAATTTCCAGCATGTTGTGTTTTAAAAAGAGATTGTCTTTTTGTATTAGTTAACTGTGAATTCTAGATTTAATAGAAAAATATATACAAGTAGATATTCTATTCTATATATATATATATACACACTGATGAAGTAGAAAACAAATACCAGTAACAGAATAGAACATCACGAAAATTAATTATTAAATAAGAATACTAAGCCAGCCACACACCTTTTTGCATTAGCTCAATAGTTCCGACTGAAAATACCACCTACTACTAAATATGAAATAGTAAAACTTTTGCTTATAACTATTACCTTACCACTATTGCTGTGATAATGGACTATGATGGAAAAGTACCGTGGTAATCATACCAGGCTCATTTGAAAACATTTCCAGAGTAAACAGATGGAATAGTGAACAACAAGCCATTTGTCTTGCTACCCATCTAAAAGGATCAGCTTTAACAACAATAAATAACTTTCAGCTGAGAGTTGTAACAGCTGTCAAGCAATGGTAAACATCTTATCCAATAGAAAGAAGTATCCAGAGCAAAGTTTTGTAATAAGATACGGGGGAAAGATAAGACTTTAGCTGAACTTGCAGAAGATTTGGAAAGACCTGCCCAATTATCTTACCTGGAAACTCCCTTTGAAATGATCGATTCATTGGCATGTGTCTAATTTATAGACCCTATAACCGATAAATATATATAAATATAATCAGCCTGAAGCAAAATACATGTACGTTCTTAAATGAAAATCTACAGTTGATAATGGTACTACATTCTACTAAAGTTGGAAATAAACAGCTCCAGACACAATCCCGAAGTTATGGGATAGTCGTATTTAGTAATGAATCTAAGTTTCAAATGGACAGACTGTTAGTGACAATATATGACAAGATCTCTGTATACCATGGGTCTCGGAAGAAAAGGCCACCAAAAAAGACTACGTGAATGAACAATTTAATGTTTTATTTGATTTTATTATTTTTGTATTATGATTGTTCAAGAGACTTCTCTATTCAAAAAATGAATCTGTGTTGTAAGCTATAGCTTTAATATTGTTAACTAGAGGGTGTAAAGCGTCTAGAAAATTATAAAAAATGTTATGTCGAGTTTTTTATTGTATTGTTACGACAGCGGAGGTCACCTGACTCTAGTAACACGTCATGCGCTTCTCGAACGTTTACGTCCCTTCCTGAAATCTCGAGAGCCTACTAGATATGCGGTAGTCTTGTATATATAAACTGGTAAGAACTGACGGCAACAATGTAGTGGGTAATTGAACTGCGGACAGAGAGAGACGTATTGTTGAGTACGTGAGACGTTCGTTGTGAATTATAGCGTTTGTTATAGCGTGACTGTGGAAATTAAGTGTATTGCAAAGTTGCATTTAGAAAGAATAAAGTAATTTGTTGTCATTATGTGAACTGGTCGCTGAAATACTTTTACCAGAAAATTTAAGAAGAACCTGCCAGTGAAAGAACTATGCTACTAGAATACTCTAACTTACTGTGGAAACAACTACAAGTATGTTCAAACATGAGATATTTAGGGTAGCTTCATTGAAATAACTAGTGATTGTTTTTGTGTATAGAGTTAATTTATTGTACTTGTTTTTCTTCCTAGTTGGAGAGGAAAAGATTCATATGTATTTCAACTTATACCTGGACGCATATGTTAGTTATCCTTTAAATAATGAGGCACTTGTTGTGCTTAGTTCACCAGATTCAGTTCCTGATATTGTCAATGACGTATATCCTGTGGAGTGTGGAAAACTACATACGTTTTCTGTATCTAAAGTGAGTAATAATTGCTGTGTAATTACCTACAAAAAAACTGTTAGTTTTAAGCAACTTAACTAGCTTTGATTGTTAGTGCAAGTTTATTAGATGTGTGAACATCAAAATTTGTTCATTATACTACATCATGAACAACGTAGGCCATTATTGTCAATGTCTCTAGCAAGCTACATCAAATACATATGGATTTAGCTCTATCTCCCCCTCAATGAAGTGATTTTGGGGCTTAGCCCCAGGACAAAAGTGTAATATCTGTATTATAAGGAAGTTTAATTCTTGCTTTATGCATCAATTAATTAAAATGTGGAGGCAAATTTAAGAAACGTGTCATGTCTCAAAGTGTTACACAATTATGGTGTTAAGTTGCAATCATAATCTTGGACCCCCTCGAGAGGAGTAAAATTCGTTGCGTATAGTATGGGCCACAAATCAAGCTTTTGAGTGCCTGGTGCGGCCCACATGTAATCTGTTGGGAACTAGTGGTGTAGTTAGTTGTGAATATATGTTAATTAAATCGTTATATATACCGGTCAATAAAAATAGCAGTCTTGTTAGTCAATATCCTTTAGATAAAAATTAACTTGTGTAAGGAAAATACGTTTGGCATAAATCTCTACACAAATGTTTCCAAAAGAAATAGTTATTTAAAGATTAAAATTCAATTCAGCAAACTAAACGCACAATTTTAGGTTGTTATTTCACTTAACCAAAATATTTCTGTTTCCTAGACTATTTCACACCTGTTACCACCCCCTTATGTCACTAACTGTACTGACTATGATAAGATGGGAAGGGCATCTTTTCGGGGTGGCTTACTAACACAACAGGTAAGACATGATGTGTAAGTTTTACGTAAAGATCAAGTCTTTAAGTTTTAAGTTCACCAATAAACTTCTAAAAAAATTCAGTACGAAGCACCCGTTTAACAAAATCATTGCATACCTATGAAAATACAGTAAGTATAATTTAAATGCAATTTCTGTCAGTATTTAAAGCAAATGCAAAACACATACTATTAGACTCTTATTGTTCCCTTAGACATGGACATTGATCTAAAACATATTGTATTATTTCAGTTTATATAATATTGTTACGCCTCAGTCGTTAGTTAATTTTCCGTAAATTCGTTCCGACGAAACTTTAGCGACACAAGTCCTTTCTTAAATAAAACTGGTTTATTCTTTCCGAATACAACTTTACCGATACACTTAATTTTAACAGTCGCTCTATAACAAACGCTAGAACGTCTCACGTGCTCGTGCTCGACAATACTCAATTACACACTCTCTGACTGCAGTTTAATTACTCATTACCTACACTTGTCCCGTCACGTTGTGACCATCTTATATATACCAGACTACCCCCAATCTAGTAATCTCCCGACAATTCACGAAGGTTCGAGAGAAGGACGTGGCGTGATACTAGTCACGTGACCTCGCTGACGCAACAATATTATCATCCCTCAGAACATTATTGACGCCTACCTATTTGTAATACCGTAAATGCTGTGAGGCCAAATTAAACTCTACAATTTGAGGTGTTTACAACAGCATGGAAATAATTTTGGCTAGACCTAAAACTACATGAGGTATAGTCTCTTTGTTTACAGAGTATTTGGTTTACACATACTACCAATACTGCTGTTCTACGTGGTACTGAAGGCCCTTTCTATACTGATCTAGCCATGTCACTATTTAATTTCTCTAGTGCATATTGGTGTATAAAAGAAATTTTAATACTGGAAATAAACGACCTTATAACGTAAAATTTTTTTAATTAGTTGAACACTCAACGTTTCGTTTTACAGCTTGTTCAGGAGCGTTCCACTAAAACACAAACCGTAACTGACTGCACAAAACTCTAAATGGTTTACACAATAACTTCTAATCGATTAGAAGTACATGCAAACAGACAAAATTATATTATTTAAAGCACACATAAAATAAAGAACATATCATTTGATAACAATTATTTTGAAATATTTTGTCTAAACTTCAATCAGTTAACAAGGGTCTTGTTTGCCTTGACGAAGCAATAATGGTGAAACATTGGCTTATATAAAACCAGTGATGTTTTCCGGAGTAATAGGTCGTGTTTTATTTGTATTTTTAACAATGAATACAGCTCTCCAACTTGCACTACAAACTTTAAACTTCCATAACTCTTAACATTGTTCATAATGCTGATTACATGCATAACAGTTGAGGTAAGGTGGTAACATTTGGAATAATGATGTCTAAAGTATGGAAAACTGATGGCTCCATGATGAAAATTTTAAAAACAAATTTACAAATAAACAGTTAATTATTTTACAAAAAAAAACAAAAAACTTTTAATTATTTAAAAGCATTGGATCCTGCCATTAAAGCTTTCATTTTGCTCATAAATTGAATAATTATATATAATTTTAATATATAAATTCATATCATTAGATGGACCACAAAGACGAAAATCGTCTTTTTCTGCAAATATATAATCTATGTTTCATGTTTTAGAATTTTATGTGTAAAAATGAGGATATTTTTCTTTTCATTTGTTTTGTATTATAAACATTCACCAAAATGCAAAGCCTTATTTAAATGATTGATTTAAATAATCAGTAACGATTCCAGCAATAATAAATAAAATAGTATTAAAGAAAACTCCAACACTATTTTGAGTATTTTTGTTTCTTAAGGGTGTAAAAGTGAAGTCCACAAGCAAGTTTTCAAAATTTAGTCCACAAATCTCTCATCCTTGATTTTATGATATTATTTTATATCTCCAAAGGCCGCGCGGTAGATCTCCATAAAGGAGAACTATAAGTTCAACTACAGCTGCAAGAGAGAGAAGTAAAACAAAGGCAAAGATCCAGCGAAGAGTTCAGAAAGAATGAACTAGAAAGAAACATGACTGCACATAGACTTGCCAGAGAAAATTAAGAGTTCAGAAGGGAAATAATAGAAAAGAAACATGCCTGCACAACGCATTGATAGAGACCAAAAGCAAAGCAAATATGGTCAACAGTATTGAAATGATCTTCATAAAACTTCAATACCTTCACATTGCATAGGACCTTTTTCATTTGTGTGTCAACCTTGCATTCCAATTTAAGGAGGAAAAGACTATAGTGGTTATAAAGTATGCTGCCATAATAGTAAATTATCTTTACAACGACATTAATACTAACCCTATTACAACAAATACTTGAATGCAAAGATATAACAACAAAAAATACTTAACAGATCTCTTGCGCTTGTTTCAATGTCTACACATCTTGCAAGCCCAAAAGGACAACGTGTATCTTGTTTTACAATCCATGGTCAAATACACCATTACTTCGGTGCAGTTAACTTAGAACAAAATGACATCAAATATGCCAGTTTTTATTTTTTGGACAGGGGGACAATCTTTATAATATTGGTTTCAAAGATCAGAAAATGAAAACAAAAACCAAACAGAGAAAGATCTTTTACGACAACTTTTACACAATATTACAACCATAAATCCATTCGCCATACCATTTAAGTTAATAAAAGAGGTAAAAGATGTATAAAAACATAAATATATAGATATAACAAGCATCAGGCATACCAGTAGTTTTTGTCAAAATATTGACGAACGAAAGAATACTTACCGTTCATTTCAGGACCAAGGGTTAATATATATATAAAACACTGACACAATCTTGGCACTTTTTTGAATTTTAAATGCATAACCAATCACGTATCATAATGTATTAGAGATTTCGGGTTGAAGAAGCAAACCAGTGTTACAAATGTCAACGATACGGACACGTTACAGCAGCGTATAAATCTCTTCCACGATGTGTGGGCTGTGGTGGCAACCACCGTAACTCAGAATGGCCAAAACAACACAGCAACCCACTATACTGTAACTGCCAACAGCAGCACACAGCAGTGGCCTAACAAGGGTTCTCAGCACCCGGGGGCAAAGACACTTTTGGCACTCCCACCTCTGAAATGTTTTGATTATTTGTTTTGTGACTCATTACCCACTTAATGACAATAACATAAAGAATTAATTACTGCCTTACACAGGCCTGAAATAAAGTCACAATATAACATCTTATGATATCACAACTGTAAACCTGGAACTAATGAAGTATAGCCTACTAGGTGTACTTACATACTTTGTAAACCATTTTGATATTTATGTCATCCAGTATTGTTGAAACTCAAATAGTTAGAGTAATCTTTCAAGCATGCAGAATAAATTTCTATTATATCCCTAGTTTTGAAACTTATTGTTACGTCTCTGTTCGTTAGCTAATTTTCCATTAATTCGTTCCGACGAAACTTTAGCGACACAAGTCCTTTCTTAAATAAAACTGGTTTATTCTTTCCGAATACAACTTTGCGATACACTTAATTTCAACAGTCGTGCTATAACGAACGTCTCACGTGCACGACTTCAACAATACACAGTTTAATTACACATTCACTGATTGCAGTTCAATTACTCATTACCTGACTGCAGTTCAATTACTCACACATTGTTCCGTCACGTTGTGACCGTCTTTTATATACCAGACTACCCCCAATCTAGTAGTCTCCCGACAATTCACGAAGGAACGGGATATTTCTAGAAGGAGGTGGCGTGATACTAGTCACGTGACCTCGCTGACGCAACATTATGTTTTATATGAGAAGCCAGTCAGTCACTTGTGGTGTACATGGATTATAAAACAGACTGATAAAATACTACTTAAGTTTACAAATAACAAATTATATTAGTCTACAAAACTGTACATATACTTAACTAGATCTTGTACAGGTAGAATCTGGTATTTGTGGTTACATTATATGAACCTTTCGTGTTTTTGCTGCTGCAAATGCATCAATTAAACTATCAAAATTTAAGGTATTAAGTACGTCTTTTTCAATACTTAATATTGCCAAGTTACTAAGTCGTTCTTGAATCATTAAGGTTCTCAAGTATGTAAGAATTAATTTCAGCTTGCTGAAGGACGTTTCACAACTAGCAATAGAAACCCCAATTGTTAACAAAACCTGCAATGCAATTCTTAACTTTGGGAAAACATCTTCACCATATGAAATTATAAGCGTTAGCAAATCAATTACAACCATTGGTTCAGGAAAATCGGTCTGTGTTCTT